AACGTATAGGGACTGAGCCCATTTTTTCCGTTGGGTAGCTGAGTCCCCCCCTGTGTTCCCGCCGACGATGATGTGAATGTGATGCTTCTTCTGGCGGGGCTCCTCTTCGTCCTCATCTTCACTGAGGGCGCCGATCTCCCTCTTTTTCCCGGAGTATCCTTCCCCCCTTTTGCCAGGGTTAACCCAAGTGTTACTCTTGGGGGCAGCCTTGACAAATTGGGAAAGTTCCCCCTGTCGGACGAGGCCGTCGATGTGCCTCTTCAAGGTGGTGCAATCCTCGGTCTTGTGGGATGTCTGGCGGTGGTACTTGCAGTATGTCCCTCCTTTGTGGATCGCAAATATCTCCTCCTCTGACCTGGGTTCCTTCACGATGAGGCCCTGCGCCTCGGCATGGTCGAGGACGACGCTCACCGGGTGGGTGAGGGGGATGCGCTGTGCCTCCAACTTTGGGCGCCATGAACGGTCCTCTCTTCGCTGTCCGCCTTGCTCCCGGTGTGCCCTCTTTGGCTGGTGTTGTCCCTTGTTGGCCGGCGGGTGGTGGGGGTTGGACGAGGAGTCCTTCTTTTGTTGCTTCTCCCCACCCTTCTTCTGGTTCAGGAGCTCGTCGGCATCAGCGTGCCTATCTCCGCGTCGGAGCGCCGCGAGGTATGACCGCGGCGGCTCCGTGAACAGGCTCCGGGCGAAGTGGCTAGGCCGGAGTGCTCCGCGGAGGAAGGCCAGGAGGGTGCGCTCATCGGCTCCTTCGCATTCGTCTGCCTCCCTCGTCCAGCGATCGAGGAAGGCTCGGAGCGTCTCCTCCGGCTGTTGTTTGATGGTCAGGAGATGGGCGAAATGCTTCTTTGCGCGCTTCCTCCCGGCAAAGTGGGTGAGGAAGCGCTGAGCAAGGTCCTGCCATGAGTCGATGCTCCCCTCAGGAAGGTTGTTGAACCAATCGTACGCTGGTCCCTCCAAGGTGGATAGGAACCAGCGACACATGTACTCCTCCGAAGCGTTGGTCATCATCATATTGTTCTGGTAACGGGTGAAGTGCTCCTGGGGATCAGTGCGGCCGTCATATGGCTTGATCGGGTTCCCCTTATACTTCTCTGGGATGGGAGCGGAGAGCACCCTCGCAGAGAAGGGGGTTCTGGTCCGTATCTGGATGACGGGCTCATCGCGCCGGTCAGCCAACTCCCTTTCCAGAGCACTGACCTTGCTCAGGAGTGCGTCGTAGTTGGGATGCTGGGATGTCTGGGCCGATGCGCGCCCTGCGGCCTCTCGGGCCTCCATATCTGCGAGGCGCTTCTCCAGGCGGGCGATGATCTCGTCCCTCGGGTCCGTGTTGGCCGCAGCGCCACCCAGCGGGGTTTGGATCCGGGCCGCGTGAGCCAGGTTGATCCGATGACGCGCATCATCATCATTCAGTTTTCCCTTTCCTTTGTCTTGTCGGGGCCGATCCGTTGTCCGGGAAACGGACCCGAAGCTTTCCTTAGGAGATCCCGGCTCGCGACCACCCAACCGATCCGCAACCCTTCCCGTAGGTACCCGACGGCTCGCGATGTCACCCAGCCTGTTGAAGGCCGAGATTTTACCGCGAGGTTGGGCCGGTGTATCCCGGGTAGGAGAGGCGGTATGGGAGTGGGTGTCCACGGCGAGGACGTCCTCGTTGTCGCCGAAGAAGGTGACGCCTTGTGGGCGAGGCGGCGGCGGTGGCACCGTCGCGACCTCCCCCGTTCCAGGAGTGTTGTTTTCCCCTGTCTTTGCGACGAGGGCGCTGACGACGTTGGGGTCCTGGAGAATGCTTGCGACGATGGCCGATAGTGCGGCCGGGTTGATCTGGGGGGCAGTAGGGTGAGAAGCCTGCTGGCCCGAAGCGCGATCAGCATTGCGCCTGTCCTCGAGCCCGATGCGGGCGTCTGGGGCAGTCCTGTTGAGCTGGACACGGAGGTCGGCCGTTGCGTGCTCGACCTCCTGAGCATTCTCATCCTGGATGATGAGATCATTGGGGACGTTGTCAGCAACGTTTCCCTGCCCTTCCTGGTTCAGCGGGGCGTTCCTACCGGTGTTCTTTGACCTAGTTCTTGTCATTCTGTTGCGTCTAGTAGCGACGAGGGGTACTCACTTGATCTGTTCTGGCTCTCAATGAAAGCACCAAATGATAGCGTATTAATCCTAGAGAGAAGTGAGAGCTAGAGAGAGAAAGTGAGTAATTATATTTCTCCAATTGGAAAGGAATCCCCTATAATTAGCCCCTTGGGGTCTATTTATAGGTAAAAACGCAGATTTGGGCCCCTAGCCTTGGGCTTAGGAGGCCCATTACAATAATCATGCCTTCTTTGGGCGAATAAGGCCACTAATGGGCTGAGTACAACACTTAGTACATAAAATAGGAAAATACATTCTGTCCGGGCGAAGTTCGGACGATGCGGTCCATGGACGATGCGGTCCATGGACGATGCGGTCCATGGACGATGCGGTCCATGGACGATGCGGTCCATGGACGATGTGGTCCATGGACGATGCCGTTCATGGACGATGCCGTCCAAATAAATCAGACGATATCTTCTTTCTTGGACGCTACGTGCCTCTGGCCGATGCGGGTGTCCAGCTGGTGTCTTTTGGGCCATTGAGTATGTGGGCCATGGGGTCCAGGCCCATATACTCTATCACTATATTTAGCCTGCTACTCGCTCGGTACTTGTACTGACCCCTTCGGGGGGGCCCACCATTTTTAGGTTGAAGCTAGGGCTTGCTACTTGCACCTCTCTTACGGGTGATATCGACTCAGGAAGACGTGGTTCGTGCTTCCTTATTTTCTTTCAAACTACCGAACACTTGCTCATGGATATTTGTTCTACTATAAACTATTTTTGGGGCTTGCATGCCCATGTTGTTGGCCGGTTGTGGCTTATGACTTACCGTTGAATATTTCCGCTATTCATTGGTTTTAATGTGATGTTGTTATGTATGTTTACTACTGAGTATGGATGGATTATATTCTCGAACGCCTTGTGTAATTAAGTGAGGTTGACTCGCGGGTGACGTCACTTGGTTATACGGCGGTTGTACACGCGCTTGGATTGCGGTCTGGGGCGTGACAAATTTGTTGTGACGAGAATAGATCATGAACTTTAGAAGAAGAGAGCAATTTAATTTCTTGAAAGATTGGGGCATGTTTTACTGTTTGTATTGCCTATACTGTAATGAGAGCTGATTGTTATAGCATATATGTGTGAATGTGATGCTTTGATGGCAAAAGATGCTAATAAGACACAAAGAGGAAGCACTAGAAGTTGCCCCCCTATATATCCAATTGCATCCCACTTTTAATAAATTAAAGAGCTTATATAACAAAAAGTCAATACCATTCTTAATTAGGTGAAGTGGCCTGGACTGCTTTGTGTCATAGCATACACCTCAAAAGTTCTTTATTGGAATGTAGGTTAGAGTTTGATTGGTCTAATAAACTTATATTTTCATACTCCCTCCGTCCCGGGGAGAAGTTCCCAATTTCCTTATTTGGATGTCCCAAAAGAAACTTCCCATTTCCCTAAATGGAAAGTTATCCTACATTAAAACAGTGCCAAACAGTGCAAAACAGTGCCAAACAGTGTCAAAACAGTGTCAAACAGTGTCAAAACAGTGCAAAACAGTAAAATTTACCCCTCAGTAACTTTATTTCCTAAAAATGTGTGAAAGTCAACCCGGGAACTTCTCCCCGGGACGGAGGGAGTATATCTTAGCTTCATAAAACATAAAAAAGTAAAATATGACACTTCCACATGTATGCATCTCATATGTGCAAACAGAAATGTATAAACACATGTGAAATAATACTTGCATGCATTTCATATATTTCTCGTTAAAAATCTGAAATATTGTAATTATACACTTTTTGTTTGAGAAAAGGGTCAGTTTGGTACTCGAATTTGCATAAAAAGGGTCAAATAAGTCCTTATTGTCCGGCCGTCGCCATTTGGGGCGGTTCCCGGTGGAATTTTTTGATGAAATTTTTTGAGCATCTTATTCATGAAGTGTAGTTTATTCATACCAAATTTCAGCTAAAACTTCAATCAGGAAGGCATTCAAATGAATTCTTGAAGATAATTGCGCTTTTAATTGCGTTTCAAGAATTCATTTGAATGCCTTCCCGATTGAAGTTTTAGCTGAAATTTGGTATGAGTAAACTAGACTATATGAATAAGATTCTCAAAACATTTCGTCAAAAAATTCTATCGAGAACAAAAATTCTAATGGGAACCTTCCTAAATGGCGACGACGGGACAGAACCTCCTATATAAGGACTTATTTGACCCTTTTTATGCAACTTCGAGTACCAAACTGATCATTTCCTCCTTTTTGCTTAATCTCATTGAGCAATGATCTCATTACTTGGTGTAGATGATTCTCAATCCAATTTGACATACACAATGAGCTGAGGGTGTTTGATTAGCAGCTTATCAGCCATTTTTTTGGGTTTATACTCCATTACTCCATAGAACTTCCGTCCACAATTAACTTCTTTCTTTCTCGTTTGAGTCAAACTTTTAATTAACAATGATCATTCTCTCTCATTTGCACAAGTGTCAATTACATTATTTTTACTTTTCTTATTTAATTTCTCAATAATTCAAATTAATAATACTCCGTATTCAATTGGAAGGAACCACATAGGTAATACTTCCTATGTCCCTAAACACTTTACCAAATTTGACTGACAAGATAATAACAAAGTAAAAACATGTGATTGATGTTTATGCAAAAGAGAAAAATATGATAGAAGTGACAAATTAAATTGACTAAAAATGCAATGAGAATAGTTTTGGAACAACCAGTAAAAAATAAAAAAATTATAAAGGAGTGAAGGAATATATATTTAGGGAAACTACCAAATACCACCACTATAACAAAAAAGTCATTTACAACCCCAACTCAATTTATCATCCAATTGATACTGGTTCTTCATTCTTGGGCTTGAAATTAAATGGAGCGAAGTTCCGTAAGCCCATCAAAACCCGCCGCAGTAATTTGTGGGAGTTGAACGTTACGACACGTCAGCGCGACTTTCTGGTGGCATCTCTGGAAGATTTCTGCTAATCATCGCTCGGTGGCATTCCTTTAGTTTGCTTCTCTCCGCAAGCAAGGTAATAGAGAGCGAATTTCTCTTGCATGATCTCTCTACTACCTCTTCTTCATGATCTAATTATCTCACCTTCATCATCACGACTCAAGCTCTGAGCTGCTGATTCAAATAATCGATTTCTCGCAAATCAGATCTCTTTCTCTTAGCCGGGGAGCTGAACGATGTCTTACGCCTACCTCTTTAAGTACATTATCATCGGCGACACCGGTAATTTTCTTCAGTATGTTTACTTTCTAGCTTCGCGTTTTCTGCCAGATTAGAATTTCAGTTTCACTTACAAATTGACAGTTTTCTCTGTGCGTAGGGACGGTTTTTGCTTGTAGTTCTGTTAATTGGTTGATGTTATGCTATTCTAGATCTCAGGACTTTTGCTACTTTAATATAAAATCATTTCATGATGTGACAAAGTTCTGTGATATGGTTATATGAAACTTTATGCTTCCGTCCTGTAGTCTAATGTTTGTTCTTGTTCTCTCTTTTTCACTACATCTTCTTTTCTTGTCCGGTTCCGGTTCCTTTCATCTCACTGCCTACGGTCTACCCATCCAAGCATGGTGTTGAGATCATTACTTGAGATTTGGGGCAAAGTTTTTGTATGTAGAAATGTAAAAAGTGATCGCCTGAAGTATATAACTTCATCCATGTTTTTGTATTTAATGTTCTGTGTGGTTTTAATTATTTACAGTTTAATGTTGTATTATTGGAATAGTGCTAATGGTTATTGAATAATATGCTAAAAGACTTGCATTTTATGATTTTAAAACAAAAGTGTATTCCATTATTCAAATTCAAAAATTATAGGAAAGTATTTAAGGATAAGTAAATGGCTAATAGTATTACTATTTGGCAATTTAAGTTTGAGCATGATTGTTTCAAATCTATCTATTGTTAAGGTTTATTTGGATGGGTCGATGGCTTTTTTTTTGGAGCGGCTTAGTCCATACCTTGACTTTTATTTGAGTTTTTATAAAATATGAAAGATCACCTATATGTGATCTATAATTAAAATCACCTTATATGCTGCAATTGGCTACTTTAAGAGACATCTTATTATACTGCAAACCACTCTCATATGGCTACTGCTGACTGTTTAGAAATATATAATTGATGAGAATATGGGATACGTACTTTGATGAACAGGTGTTGGGAAATCATGCCTTCTTTTGCAATTCACTGACAAACGTTTTCAACCTGTGCATGATTTGACCATTGGTGTCGAGTTTGGTGCTAGAATGGTTTCCATTGACAACAAACAAGTTAAACTACAGATTTGGGACACAGTTAGTTTTCTCCCTTATTCTTTTATTTAGTAAATCTGACATACGCAAGTTAAACATTTCCCTGTTTCGAAAACTCAAAAGCCTGCCGGAAACATGGAAATTAAATTCCCTTTCCGGGGCCATTTCCGTAATCAAGAAGAACTGAGAAACTCATTTCCCAAAATAGTTAGCATTTCAGAAACCTTGAGTTTCTAATTCTTTTCTTTTTTGTGGGAAACCTTTTTAACTTTTAGTGAATTTTTATGTATTTTCTTTCTAGCAACATTGTGATATTTCATAAGATAATGCACTGTTAGAAATGTATTATACTTTATACTCAATTCTGTATTAATATGTACTACCTCCGTCCCTCTTATATTGGGACGGAAGAAGGTGGCACGATTATTAAGAAAAGTGGGTTTGTGTGGTTGATATTAATTGATAAAGTAAGAATGATTTAGAGCCACACAAACTTTACCAAATATGATATGGGACAATTTTAGTGGGATTTCCCGAAAAGGTAAAACGGGACAATATAAGGGGGACGGAGGGAGCAATTTATAAATTTGAACATTCAGAATGTATTTATTATTGGTTATCAAATGAAGGTATAGGGAAAAAAGTATGGTGGTATAGACATAAATGAAAAAACATGTATGCATTTTTTTTAAATGTAAAAAAACATGTTTTTTTTTTTGAAAAAACATGTATGCATATATGGAAGTATTTATATATATATATATATATATATATATATCCTTATATTTTTTAATATTTATGTGTTTCCCCCACGTTTCGTACCCTACAATTTCTAGAATTCCTGCTTCTTGCGTTTCCCGTTTCTGTGCTATATAGGTTGTAAGAGCTTCTTGTTGGGTTAGGGCTAATTTCATGTTCTGGTCACACTCTTTGCTGTTTCAGGCTGGTCAAGAGTCATTTAGATCTATTACAAGGTCTTATTATAGAGGCGCTGCTGGAGCACTACTTGTTTATGATATTACAAGGTATTGATACTGTCGGAGTGTCTGAGGTTGTGTCTACCCATCTTAAATGTTTCGGTTATGTTTGGTATGACCGTATGATATAATCAACCATGTAGGGTTTGATCAGCTTTACAACTGTCAACTGGAATAAAAGTAAAGAACTCCATTGAAAAATGGAAGTTGCTCATTTATTGTAGAAGATGTAATTGTACTTTTGTTCATAACCGTGTTTCTCTTTTCACAAATATAATTGCTGTTCATGACATTCATTAGATCCAAGATAAAGAAATGTCTGCTAGTTAGATTTTAATGGAACTTCTTGGCTCTACTTCTGATGAGTGGTAAAAAAAAATCTCTTTTTTGTTCTTAAATGATCTTAGGAGGGAAACTTTTAATCACCTTGCTAGTTGGTTGGAAGATGCAAAGCAGCATGCAAATGCAAATATGACAATTATGCTGATAGGAAACAAGTGTGATCTTTCTCATAGAAGAGCAGTGAGCACAGAGGAAGGAGAGCAATTTGCCAAGGATAATGGTTTAATATTTATGGAGGCCTCTGCAAAAACAGCACAGAATGTGGAGGAGGTGAATCTTCCCTCAGCCACTTATGCCTTTTAGACTGGATTATAGAGTTTTTTATGTTTATTAAAATATACAAGTTTGATGTTTCTGCTATCTGATCTTTTTTAGGCATTTATCAATACCGCAACGCTAATATATAATAAAATAAAGGATGGAGTCCTTGATGTATCTAATGAGGTAATCATGTTTTAAACTTTTAATACCCTGCACGTCATGTCTTCATATGCGCATGTCTCCATGTAATGTGGAGTAATAAATTCCTATTCTACTGGCTATCTCATACTACATATATGCTATCATGCCGGTTTTTGTGATTCTTTTAAGCAATTTAAGTAATTCAGTTTTGTTTCAATATGTCAAGTGCTATTTGTAATGATATTTTGATGGCTGTATTGTATTTGAATCTTCTGTATCTAAATGAGGGGAAAAAAGAAGATACAACATATTGATGTGATAATATCATAAGGATATTCCGCAGAGTCATGGGGCTATTATGTCATCTCCATGTTCAGTCCCAACATATATTTTAATCACATTTAGTCTCATACTCGCGAGTCATGACTGTCACTACCCCATTTAATCCCCAACTTTTAGTTTAATTACATTTTGATTAAAAAAAGAGAACAGCAAAAGAGAGTACATAGGTTATTTTTACGAAGACTAGCACTCCTTGACGTTTTTCGAGGAGGTGTCTTTCAATAGACAATTGACAGTTCAACGACATTTAATCTCGTGACTTTGCTGATGATCCAAGAATTCATCCCAAGTCCACCCCAGTACTTCAGAATCTAATCCTCTTTTATATTACATGTTGTTTTGAAAAGGTCACAATAATCAAGATAAATTCAGATGTAAAATGATCAAATAATCCTTTGGTTTAACTTGAATGCCATCAAATTATAGCATAAGATCAATTCCGGCGATGAAAAGAAGTTATAGACTGGGCTAGATGTGTCAAATTGCAAGAGACTAAATCTAACGACGTCACTATAGTCATGACTCAAAAGATTAGACACAATCAATTTAAAAGTCAAGGTTTGCAGCAATGCCACTATAGACTATAGTAATTTGGGTAAACATGAAATTTATCTATCCTTGGCGGAGCCTAAAATTTACGCTAGGATGATTAAAATTTAAAAATACATGATATTTAAGCAGTCTTCTGTGGGTATTATATGTTCAAATAGGATAATATGTTTATATGTGAATAAGTTTTCCCATAAAATTAGATAAGTGAATTTAGTATATATAAAGTATTCCATTATACAAATTGTCAATATCGTATTTAGTGCCATTGTTATGCAAATTTGGTAGCACAAATAATTTCAAATTTTATGTGTTTCAAAGTTTAAGACTGTGCTCATAAGTTTTGATAGAGTTACAATACCCTTAGTATGTCATCTAAAAATGAATTACTATACCCTTAACATATCATATGGAAGGTATCTCACCTTTCTACTCAGGTCAGCTGCCCACCCGACACCCCCTCCATGACTCCCCCCTGGCGAGAGTGCCTATTAATGTGGGTAAACTGGGAACTATGGCAAAATATTCTTGTGTTCTGTTTTCCAACCACGGTAAAAGCTTTTGTTCTCCAACTCACCAAGTGTATGTTTGTATCTGGGAAAATGAGAGGGAAAGGAAAAAGAAAGCTACGTGAGTTATATTCTTGTGTTCTATTTTGCCGTTGGAATACAAAAGAAATTGAAATGTGTTTAAATTTCTTACGTATGTTTACATTTCTTAGTCTTTATGTAATATAACAAAATAATGAAATTAGTTTGAACAAATATCAAGCAAAAGTAGACTTTTGCTTATGTATGTTTACATTTCTTACGTACTGTTATCTTTTCAAGCAAAAGTAAATGAAAAAGATATAGCTTTAACACCTAGTCCTTTATTTTTTGAAATGCAGGCCTACGGGATAAAGGTTGGCTATGGTAGCGTCCCCGGGCCATCAGGTGGAAGAGATGGAGCTCTTACTCAAGGTGGAGGTTGCTGCAGCTGAACTTGAGACATGATTTCCTTTCAAAGTAATCCGTACTGTTTAGTTGTGGCCTTGTTCTTTCCTTCTCATCATTTAATTAAAAGCTTACATGTGTAAGTGGTGTAAAATATAATGCAATAGTCGGCAATCACAATTCTGGGTGTGAATATAGGCGTTACTCGAATTCGTGTAATTTTGAAGTGTTATCTTTGGGGCGTCTTGGGTGGACAATTCCACCTTTTGGGTTGAGGAATTTGGCGAGAGATTTGGCAGGTGAATGGAAATGACTGAATCTTATGTGCTCGTATGTTTTTTCTTTTGTCACTCAAGGTCTGGAGTCTCACATCAGCAATCACAAAGGGTATGGGATAGGGGTGGACTCTGGCCGGGCGGCCCGAACCGGAACCGGCCCGGCCCGGTCACTGTTTGAACCGGCCCGACCCGGCGGTTCGGGTCGACCCGGCCCGGTGGCTAACGGTTCCGGGCTTGGGCCTTCATTTTGGTGAACCGGCCCGGCCGATTCGGGCCCAGTCCGGGCTGGATTTTTTTTTTTTAAAATTTTTTTAAGTTTTTGGGTTGGATTGGGTATTTTGGGCCATTTGAGGTGGTTTGGGGTGGTTTGGGGTTGAGGGGGAGGGTAGGGCTTGATTAGGAAAACCCAAAACAAAAAAAATTATATACAACCGGGCCCAGCCCGAACCGGACCCGGGGTTACCCGGGCCGGTTTCGGGCCTCCCCTACCTTGAACCTCCCCTACCTTGAATCGAGGCACGGCCGGTTCAAGGCCCGAACCGGGCCCTGCCCGGAACCGGTCCACCCCTAGTATGGGATCCACCCCAACATGCTCTCAGGTAAATTATGTTTTAGGTTCCATTGGGTAAGAGTAGTTGTGGATTTGCATGTTATTTGCAAATCCACCTCCAACCAAGCAATTCATGATGTACTTATTGTGGCCTCTTTTTCTTTTGAAAAGCGAAACGAACATATAAGAAAATAGGGATGGACCGGTTCCGGGCCTACTGGCCCGTGACTCGGCCCGACACTGTTTTGGAACCGGACCGGCCCGATGGCCCAGCCAGAGACCGGTCCTGGTAGGCCCGGCCCGGGGGTTACATATGGCGGGCCTGGGTCAGCCAAAATAGGAACCGGCCCACCCGGGTCCGGTTCAGGCCTTTTTTCCCCGATTTTTTTTCCCAGGTTGGGCTAGGTGTTTTGGGGGGGTGGGGGGTGAGGGGGTGGTGGTGAGAGGGGTCGGTGGTTAATTAGAAAAGCAAAAAAGAAAAAATTGAACCACCCTGAGGCCCGGCCCGGCCCGGACCTGGTGGATAACCGGGCCTATTTCGGGCATCAACTTTCCCCAAAAAAGCCCGATCAGGCCCGTTCCATGCCTATAAGAAAATTCATTAAATATGACTAAAACATAAATAAAGTGTATATGTAGGACTATCATTGCTTTCTTTTATTCACTTATAATAGGCAAGTTTTGCACTTTTAATAGGATCAATTGATCAAATAGGTCTTGATTCAGGAATAAAATACATTTAGGAGACGTTTACTTCGCTGCTAAAGTCACAATTAGGTTAGTAAGACAGGTGAAATAAACACGCACACTGCTTAAAAAGTCGCTTACTAACCGAAAGAGGTGCTTAAAGTGCCGCTTACTAAGCATATCGCCCCATGTATTAATTAAGCGACACTTTAAGCTTTTTCAGTTTCCGAATTTACCCTTGCCCTTACCCTGTTGTTACCCCTCTACCTGCTACCCCCCACCCCATTGTTCTAAAACTCGCTAGGCGCTAGTCGGGCGGTTGAAGGGCGCCTTGCGCCTAGGCGGCCGACTAGGCCGATTTTTTGGCCGACTGGGCCGATTTTTTGGCCGACTAGGCCGATTCGGCCTCTACGGTTAGGGCTGACTAGGCCGGCTAGGCCGATTAATCGGTCCGCCTAGGCCGATTTTTAGAACAATGCCCCACCCCCGCCCAACCCTTCTAACTCGACCTCGACCCCACCCTACCCACTACCTTCATCCATCCTGGTACCTTACCCCTTGCCCTACCCTACTCCCACCCGACCCACGCTACCCTACCCTATCTCGGCCACCCAAATATCGGCCACACCCCCTTCTCATACCTTACCCTGACCCCACCCTACCTTACCTTACCCGGACCCCCTACCCCCTTACCCTTACCCTACCCCGTTACCCAGGCCCCACCCTGATCTTGACCCCACCCCCTATCGCCATCTACGCTACCCCTACCCCTACCCTACCTTACACCTACCCCACCTCTGCCCACCTCAATCCTGTCTCCACTCAACCTTACCCTGACCCCACCCTACACTACCCCAAAACCCATACCCCTACCTCAGCCCCACCCCGATCCCGGCCCCACCCCTATCGCCATCTACGCTACCCCTACCTATCCTACCTTACCCGACCCACCCCACACCTACCCTACCTCGGCCCACCCCAATCCCAGTCCCACCCTACCGCCATCCTACCCTACCTTACCCCGACCCCACCCTACCCTACTTTATCCTGACCCGACCCCGACCCCAACCCTAACTCGGCCCCACCCCGATCCCTACCCCCACCCTATTGCCATCTACGCTACCCCTACCTTATAGCGACCCCACCCACGCCACCCCACGCCACCCCCTACCCCTACCCCCTACCACATGCTCCTACCTCAGCCCCACCTCGATCTAGACCCTACCTTACGCCGACCCCACCCTACCCCTTACCCTACCCTTACCCCCACCCCACCATCCCCCACCCTTACTCCTAACCACGACCCTGCCCCACCCTACCACTTGCCCCTACCTCGGCCCCACCCCGATCCCAACCCCACCCTTAGCCCTTACCACCCTACCCCAACCCCCATCACATGCCCCTACCTCGGCCTCACCCTGATCCCGACCTCACCCCTACCGTCATCCTACCCCCACCCACCCCCTATCGTGTAGGGCAGGGTAGGGATCAAGGGTGTGGAATTGGGGGTAGGGTTGGGGGTACGTGGGGTGTAGGGCGGGGTAAGGGGTTCGCGGTAGGGTACATGTACGAGGTGACCCCACATATTATATTATATACCTGTGTTCGTGAATGTTTGTGCATCTATTTATGTATAAGATTATTTTGGACATTTTAATGTTAAACGGTGTTTTAAACCTTGTGAAGTAAACACGATCTTACAACATTGCTTATTTTATGCGCCGCTTATTAACGCGGGTCTTAATAAGCACCGTTTAGTAACCCGTGAAGTAAACATGTCCTTAGTCCAATGCCTTCATTTTATCCAAGTTTCAGTCCTATTTAGAGCACTTGGGATGAGTGTTTAGAGCAATTTCTAAACATAATAAGCCAGTTATAGTCTTATAGACTTATAGCGACCAAACAAAACCTTAAAATCTTAATCCCAATATAGCAGCATGAAGGATTTGAAGGTGTGTTCATACTTCATAAGCATGTTCGCCTCCTTCATTGACCACATCAGCTTTAAAAATCTCCATCTAACGGTTCTAGCTGCTACTATAAACAACCACATTTGGTTTCATTTAATCTTGAATCAATGGTATGATACTCTGATAGGTTCAATTTTTTTGGTTTGCTTTCAGTTCTATCTTTTCTTTTTGCTTGTTATGCACAACAAAAGGGAATTTGATTAAAAAACTTTGATTAAAAAACTGCAAAGAATACAACATATAAAAAAAATAAGGGTATACAGTAGAAGGTTAACTTTGTTCCAAATGTTATTGGGTTTATCCAAAGAGAGCATAAACTTGGTAATATAAATACAGCGTGATTACATTTGCTCGAATTAAATTTTATAAAGTAAAAAGATTTAACACCAAACATTGACTTTGAGAATGGGAGGTGATTGACTTTGACATGGGTATGAATTAGAAGTAAAAGAAGTGCATATTAATTAAAAAGGTTAATCACATGTTTGGAAAATTTAAAATTGGTCACACTCTGGTCTTCACAAAGTGTAAATTGCTATTTGTATAAACTACTATGTTTTCTAATACTGCGTATAAATTTCTTGCTTTTTGTATAAATGGGCTTTAAATCAATCCGATTAGATACTCAATTGATCTCAACAACATTTAACCCTTTTTATTTATAACGTATAGATTGTATGATTAATATTTCTTACTATGTAAGTGAATAGAATCAAAACACACACAAAAAGATATGAAGAGTGACATGTGTAGTTAAATTTAGAATATACTCGGACTACGGAGTATACATATTCACAATTAGATGTGAATTGTGGCATGGATTAATTAGATGTGGCATGGGGCAAAACATATTTTGACATGCCTCCCTATAAAAAAAGTGACAAAATGGCTCTAGCATGGATTTAACAAAGAAGCAAATTCATGTCAATTCCGTGTCAAAATCACGTTTTTGTACCAAGTATAAATTGGTGGAAAACCTTGAAAAGTTCTCACCACATTTGTCATTTCACTATTTCATGTTTATCCCTCATACTCCGTAATAAACATGCGAGCCACTGGGGGCCTGCAAATTCAGACAGGGATATGGTCCGAGGGATGATTGGTGGAATCATGGCTATTAAAAAACAGGCTGTCAAACAAAGAAAACATCAGGGGTCCTTTGTTTATTTAACATTCGAAAGCAAAAACTTGTGGATCGTCTATTAATGTGTGTCTCATTCCCTGTGATGGTCCACTGCAAAATATTGAAAAGATCCCTAACAAATGTTTGTTCAAGAATAACCATTTTAGTATATTTTAACCACTTATACTCTGCTGCTCCCTCCGTAACATTCATATCTTCTCACTTTCTTTTTTGGTTATAACACTCATATCTTTTCATTTCTAAATTTTCCCATCACACCATCAATAATTTTGAAAAGGCTAAAGGGTCAAATAGGTACATGAACTAACTTAAAGTGTTCAATTAGCCCCTTATATAGGAGGTTCTGCCCGGCCGTCGCCAATTGGGGCAGTTCCCGGTGGAACTTTTTGATGAATTTTTTTGAGCATCTTTTTCATTAAGTCTAGTTTACTCATATCAAATTTCAGCTAAAAATTAAATCGGGAAGGTAGTCAAATGATTTTTTGAAGATAACTGCGCAGTTAAACAACGCAATACATTTCTGAAAATTATTTGACTACCTTCCCGGTTGAATTTTTAGCTCAAATTTGGTATGAGTAAATTAGACTTAATGAAATAGATGCTCAAAAAATTTCATCAAAAAATTCAATCGGGAACCGCCCCAATTGGCGATGGTGGGGCTGAACCTCCTATATAAGGGACTAATTGAACATTTTAAGTTAGTTCATGTACCTATTTGACCCTTTA